TCAGAAACCCGCCTGCAAGATTCGAGCTCCGTGCTTACCCTGAGATCCCCCACATGCGACACTGGCGGCACATTCTCATTGCGCCTATCTGGCGATGATGCAGCTTCAAATGCCGGTCAAGCCGGCGTCGGCATTGTTTTGAGTCCCCGGGCTGAAGCTGCCCTGCTTGATTGGATCCCAGTAAACAGTAGGATGTGCGCCGTTAGATTAGCTGGTTCGTTCCGTGCTTCGAAGTCGCGCGGGGACAAACGGTGCCTGTTTGTCATTGCGGCCTACGCCCCTACAAACTGTAGCACTGATTCGGTAAAAGATGATTTCTACCAGCAACTTCACGAGCTCCTTCGTTACAGAAGAAGCACGGATACTGTGGTGCTGGCTGGCGATCTAAACGCCCAAGTCGGGAAATTGTCCTCTGATGAGCTTCATCTGGGCGGCCAACATGGTGTAGGCTCCCGTAATGATAATGGTGTGCGATTGCTCCAGCTGTGTGAAGATGCTCGCCTGTTTCTCGCGAGCACTAATTTTCGACACAGCACCCGCAGAAGTGTGACTTGGCGGCCACCAGCCTCGGGCCAGTCATGGACGCAAATCGATCATATCGCGATCAGTTACCGCTGGAGAGGCTGTGTCCAAAACTGTCGCTCGATTTGGAGCACGAGCGTGGACTCTGACCACGCACTTGTCTGTGCCGACATCCTGATGCGCTTCGGTGGACGTCCGCAACGTCGATGTGAACGGATTGACACTAGCCAGCTGACGAAGCCAGATGTTCTGAATGTGTACCAAGATGCGCTGACATCTGGGCTGAGTAAGCGCCCACTAAACACCGTGGAAGATCACTGGTCGCATATTCGTCAAGCGTTGCTATTAGCAGGCATGTCTTCATGTGGCAAAACAAATTGCCAAACCGGACATTGGGTCTCTACACAGTCTCTGGAACTTATGGATGCTCGCCGACGTATTCCGGCTGGAAGAGAATACAATGAATCTCGCAAAAATCTCAGGGCGAAACTACGTGCTAGCCTAAAGAAGGACCGCGAAACCTAGTGGTCTCATCGTGCATCTGAGATGGAAACAGCCGCTGCCATTGGTAATCATCGTAAGTTATACCGTCTGATACGGGCAACAGGCAGCAGGAGACCTGGTGTTAGCGAGACCATACGCGACGAGAGTGGGCAGATGATCCACAGCCTGTCAAAACGCTTGGAGCGTTGGGCTGAACACTTTGCTATGCAATTTAACCAACCTGAGTTATCACTTTCTTCGGGCATTGAACGCCCTTCTCCTTGGGCCGTCTCCTCGGATCCGCCCTCACGCGCTGAAGTCGAACGTGAGATCAGGCTGTTGAAATTGCATAAGGCCGCAGGGGAAGATACTATTCCTCCAGCCCTCTTCAAGTTCGGTGGACCTGCTCTAATAGGTGATCTACACGAGTTGCTAGTAAAACTTTGGGAGCAAGAGACAGTCCCGACAGACTGGAACCGCTCCGTCATTGTCCCAATTTTCAAGGGAGGCTCCCGTTTGGTATGTGGTAATCATAGAGGGATCAGTCTGATTTCGATTGCCTCTAAATTGCTTGCCTCTCTCATTCTCCACAGACTGACTGGCACTCGTGAAAGCCAGATTCGTGAAGAGCAAGCCGGATTTCGTCGAGGTCGGGGCTGCATCGACCACATCTTCACATTGCGTCAAGTGTTGGAGCACCGCCATGTTTATTGGCGACCCACCGTTGTCGTGTTTCTTGACATAAAAGGTGCCTTCGACTCAGTCGATCGATGTGCCCTTTGGGACTGTCTGTTGAGGAAAGGTGTGCCTGATAAATATGTAAACATTATCAAAGCGCTGTACGCACATAGTTCGGGCAGGGTGAGGGTTTATGGCAAACTCTCGCCACCCTTCAGTATCACCAGCGGTGTGAGACAAGGATGTCCGCTGTCACCTTTCCTCTTCAACTTCGCTATTGATGAAGTCATGGAAACAGCGTTCGCTGGACACGACCTAGAAGGTGTGGAGCTACTCCCTGGTGAGCGACTTCTTGACTTGGAGTATGCAGACGATATTGCCCTAATCTGTGACGGCTCCCAAACATGCCAAACAGCACTGAACCGATTAGCACTGGCTGTCAGTCGTTTTGGGCTATGCTTTGCTCCATCAAAATGCAAAGTACTTCTCCAAGATTGGCAGGGACCCAATCCTGCGCTAACGCTTGGTGGTGATCTGCTCGAAGTCGTTCAGGAATTCAAGTACCTGGGCAGCTATATTAGCACCCGTGGGATTGAAGATGAGGTTACGAACCGTATAGCAAAAGCTCGAGGTGCTTTTGCCAATCTCCGCCACCTGTGGCGCAGACGCGACATTACTCTCGCCCTCAAGGGCAGAGTTTACAACGCAGCCGTCCGTTCAACTCTCCTATATGGCTGTGAAACCTGGCCCATCAGGTCGACAGACATGAAGAGACTCGTCACGTTCGATCATCGCTGCCTTCGCAGCTTAGCTCATGTCTGGTGGGAACACCACGTGAGCAATGAGCGTGTTCGACGTCGCGTATTTGGTGCAGGAAGAGCGAGTGAACCGCTCAGCACGATTATATCACGCACCAGGCTCCGATGGCTGGGCCACGTCTTGCGCGTGCCAGCACACCGACTCCCACGACGTGCATTGTTTGCGCGTTGTGGGTGTGGTTGGAAGAGGAGGAGGGGAGGCCAAGTGATGACTTGGTCGCGAGAAATGAAAACCCTCACTTCGAAGTTGTCGTCGGTTGGTGCATCCCGACTGCCTGGCTGGGGTCCTAAGGACGGTGAACACGTTTGGCTGGACACACTTGCTGATATGGCTTAGAGCCGGCCCCAGTGGCGTTTGTGTTGTGAGTTCCTTTGTCCATCCCCCTCCTGTTTAGCATCCCCCTCCAATCACGATCTCAATCGTTAGGCATAATATGACTTTCTTTTACGGCAGCCAGCTGTTAGCTCTCCGGAACGATGTCCATCCGTTACTGGGGACTCAGCGGGCGTGCCACTGTTTGTTTGTTTTTTCTTTTCTTGCCTTTTGTATTGCGGCACAATAGCTGAGGTGTTTTCCACCTCCAGCTAACGTGTAATGATGATGATGATGATGATATCAACACACTTCAAGCTGGACAATTTGGACAACTTTTCTCGAAGGGCGGCCTACTTTTTCGCTTTTGCAATTGCTGCTTTGCGATCAATCGCTAGCTCTAGCTGTCCTGTCATTTGTTTCCCGACTGTTCCTAATCATGTAATCCAGTGTTCCTTAAAACATCTTGCATATTTCTCGATGCGATTGTATGCATCAGTGACCATTATCCTCATCATGCGCTTTCCTAATTGCCTTGCAACTGCCCACGCTTGCGGATGGTTTATCGGAGACTTGTAATTGACACTTCTGGGAAGTGTCATTTCGTGGGCATTCATGGAGGATGACTGTTCCCGTGTGGAGCCTTTACGGCCTTCAAAGTCTTCCCAACGACTAGCAGATCGGAGCGTTGAGCACCTATGATTGTTTGCAATGATTCGGAATACCTATCGCTCGGGTTGGTAGTTAAACTTTTGCTTGGTTCACTGATCTGATTAATTTAATGTCAAACGTTTCACTACATCGCTCAATGGCATCTGTAAGTGACACGTACCAGCTTAGAATTTTGGTGCGCGAACCAATATAATTTAGCTTGACAAAGGTACTTGATCATCCTCCACGATTCCACATCAATCCACCACTAAAATAGCACCCTGTGCATTCAGCTGTTATTCAGATAAGGTAGTGTGCACAGCGCTTGTGTATTGATCCGATCACGTGGTAAGTGGGCTATATCAACGACGTAAGCTGGTAACCTGTCCACTCGAATCCTCATTCTTGTGTGGCCTTATCTAACAGCGTGACTTCGTGGTCATCACCTTCTTTACTACTGCCCTTCTTGTATATCACCAATCTAACCGGTTCGCTCCAGTTAGCCGGAACGCTTTCTTCCTTCCAGACCTATTCAAACACGGAGGCTAGTGCTTTGAAGAAAACCTCATCACCATCCTTGAATAGTGCGGGTGCGAGGGAATCCGTGCCAACAGCACGAAATCTCTTAAGGAATTCGCTCGCATTTGGGATCACAGTCTCCGACGGAGCCTCTAAGCTAAACCACCATGGCTCAGCCTACATCACATGAGTAGGAAGGGGTCTAGAAGCAGGGGGAACTTCTCTCGCAGGTCTCCGCTCAATGAGCCATACTACACTGCTTATTATGTCTCTGATTGTCACAATTACTCCTGCTTTCATTTGACCATTAGTGCGGACCAGTTGGAAGAGCTTGTGATAATTACCTACTACTGCTTTCTTCATTTTTTGAGCCGTACTAGTCCACCAGTCTTCTTGTCAACACGCAGGCTCCGCTTTATTTCGCGCCCGAGTCCGCCTAGTTACATTGTACTCAGAGCCATCCGCTTTTCTTCTGAATTTCAATACGTTCACTGACCTCTCGGATGTCCAGTGACGGTTGCAGTGACGATCGATGTTGCTGCAATCAGAGGCTCCTACATCGTGCATGGCGGCTGAGATCCTGACTTCGAGGTATACCCATTCTTCGCGCGACTGTTTGTGGTCGCATGGCAGCGAAGCGTCGCTATTGCGTACCACCGTACTGCTGATGCCACCATCTTTATTGAACATTGGTGACCTCATCGGTTTTCAGACCCTGACCACAATGGCGTTCCCGTTGTGCGTTTCTTTGTTCATCCACCTCCTGTCCAGTCATGATCCCACATTCAATGCATAATGCGATATTTATGGATATATTGTTTGTGTTGGCTTTATGTATTCTGTTATTTTTCGTCCCTTTCTTTTTTTATGTACTATCTTAATATTGCGGCACAACAGCTGACGTGTGTTTCTCACCTTCAACTAACGTGTGACGTTAATGACGGTGATTTCTATGCACTCAATGTTGTTTGGATGTGTACCAGCTGTACCGGTTCACTGATTCGTTTTTGTTATAGTACCATGCAACATCCCTTATTGATGCGGGTTCTTGCTTCCTCTGTACACTTGGCCGGCCGAGCATGTACGATAGTTCGAAACATACTGGCGTCCAACGATTTGGAAATCGTTGAAAAAGGCGTCAATGACTTACAATCAAAGGCTGATCGTGATGCACAGCGATTCATCGTGGGATCTCTAACCAGAGCCTTTCCAGATTTGAAGATAATTGGTTAGTTAACTTTTCATTCTCCTCACAGAACCAATTCGTAGGCGAGGAAGGAGATTTGGAGGATGATGGCCAATCAATTTCGCTGGATTTGGATGAGGAGGTTTTGCATAAAAAATGCCCTCCTACTCTCTTTTCCACGCCTTCATCTGAAATTGTCGTTTGGGTAGATCCCTTGGACGGTACTAAAGAGTTTACAGAGGTGGGACTATATTTCCACCCGGTTCCATTTGATGTTCCTCCACTCGTTCCCCTTTATCTTTACACCACAATCTTCGATGATCAAAAACGCAAGATGCCTATTAATGATCAGCGTACAACATTTCTTGATCACATGGATTTTTAGGCCTCCAGTTGGCTAGCGAAGTTATTTTCAATCGTGTGTTAAACCGTTTACACTCTACATTTTACTGCCGTCCGTTTGAGCCTTTTTGCAACCATTCCACCTCGCTTGGCTGTGCTACCCGTTACTTCTCTCGCAACCCCTAACCCTGCCTTAGTATCGTAGGTCACTTGTATCTAGAAAATTTCCTTTAAATTTCCGATTTCTCAATGAGACATGTTTAATATTGCTACGACACATCAGTTGCATATTCACTTAGCGCTCACGTTCCCGCGCCAGTTGGGTGCTGGACGCTTATTCCGTGTCTCAGCTTTTCGGCACTTGCGTGACGTCACCCACTTGAATTCATTACCGAACCAGCCTTTCTTTAGCCTTCATTTTGCTGTCAGTTTCTCAACTTATCCTGCCGCTTTACTCATCACCATTGTTTGTATTATGTCTGCCTTATATCACTGTTCCACATAGTGATTTCAAGTTGAAAAACCTAGCCAGATACTAATTGAACTCTGAATAGTGAATGATTCAAGATAGATAACCATCATTTCCAACCTCGGTATCTGTATTCCATCATATACTGTTGGGAAAAGGCCATATTTTCTAAGAACTACACTAAAATCAGCATAAAACATGGACTTATTGTTGGTCACCGTTTTTGATTTCAGCGCTATCGGTTTCCGCTTCAAACAAGTACTATGATTGGCTAATTTGGCAAGGCCGTTGAATGACCTGAACCAATCATGAGTGTTCGTGGCTTTCTGGTGTTCTATGTTGGCTTGCGTATCGATCTCGTGTCTGAGGTCTTGTCTTCTTTCCTTCCTTTGTTGCCTTTGTGATTATTTGCTATGATTTCATTATGGATGTGCAGTTTTCTGTGCGTGTCTGTTCTGAATTGTGTTGGTGGCCATAGGATCGCAACCTCTGCTTACAATCCTAATGTGTAGTGCGGATTTTGGTATAATTCAGCCAATTTATCATGGTCACTCTCAATCAGCAGGCTTAGGCTAATTTGGAAAAAGCACCAGACGCTGGCGTTTCTACCTTCTGGGTTTTTACTTACTTTACTTTTCTGCGACTAGTTCGTGGGACAGGATAAACCGGCTTCATGAATATCGCGGATTACAACTGCTCAAGCGCGGCGATCGACGGCAACCTCCATGCAGATACTGATCCAATGATTCCTCCAGTGACGAGCACCATGCACAACATGAAGTCAAAGAAGATCGACATCCGATTTCACTGCGGTGAGCCACGTTTTTAATTGCTTACCGCGGCGACGAAACCAACCCTGGCAAGGCGAGGGTGAAACCATGGCCCTAGTGCAGTCACTGTCTGGTCTGCGGAGGACGTGACCGAATCACTGAAGTCTGCGGCGTTGGATGATCACTGAGAGCTTAGGAAGACCGTAACAGCTCCTGCGGATTTCGTCATTGGTGATACGATCATGCCACTGCATTTACGAGATAAGTCTTAGACACCAATGATCGAAGACTTACAGCTTCCGGGTGTCTTCGGATCATAGCGGCCATGTTTCGCAATTGTACGGTAAAATGGCACGAATGGTTGCAGAGCATATTTGGATCTTCGTTCTCAGACTAATTTCATCCTTCGCCACAATTTGTTTCTCAGTTGTATGAAGGTTGTTCTAGCGTTGTCAATACGATTCCGGATTTCGGATGTGGCCTGGTCATTAGGGAGTATAGTGGATCTAAGATACTTGAACTCAGGAACATATTCGATGCGTTGTCCATGTAAGGAGGACACCAGATCGGACTGGGTGGTTTTCAGGTTCTCATGGTTGTATGGCAGCGAAGCATCAGTTCAAATGGCTGAGGTGCTGCTGTTAATGATGATGATGATGATGATGATGATGATGGGTCGAAGACGATGAGAAGTACTTCGTCTTGCTGGTGTTAATTTCGAGGCTGATCATGGAGGCTAATTATTTGACCCGATTTAACAGTGACTGTAATGACATGGCATCTTCCGCAACGATAGTGATATCCTCAGCAAATTCTAGATCTGGCAGCCAGAACTCAGGGCTTGATTGAACACCACGATAGCTCTCAAGAGCATGATGCATAACCCAGCCGACTGCGAAGTTGAACAGCACTGGAGAAAGTGGGCAACCCTGCTGGACTCCAGTATTGATGTCGAATTCCTTCATTTCTCCATAATCCCGAATACGGGCTTTCGTGCAACGGACATTCTGGGTCTCGCAGTGGTGTGCCTTCCAGCGGACCCCTGCCGCTTTCCACCCCATGGCTTCTGGAACCCAGCAGCTTGTGCCACTTCGACATGGGTGACAGCTGTGGACCTGCGTGGCTCATCTTCCACTGCCATGCCGTTTGCGACCTGTACAAAGGACAGTGGCTAGCCTCACGAGCTAGGGCGTTCCGCACAGCGCCTTGACACGGCACAAAGACTTGAAGGCTATACGGACAGATTTTCTATATATTACTGATGAGTAGTGAGGATTTTGATATAATTCAGCTAATTCACCATGATCATCCAATCATTCGCCCACGACTGTCTCCAACGTAACATCATTGCAGATATGTTCAGACTTCAACTACAGCCATGACAACCATCTATATATTTCGTCAAAGATTGGGGGAAACGAGTAGGTTTGTAGTTTCACACACCATATCTCATAGCCCCGAGTCACGAACTAGGTAGGTATTTGAAACAATTAGTTCCCGAGGAAACTTTTTGCAGAAAAGTTAACACAAGGGTGCCGCACGATTTAATTCCGGAATAATTTCTCTGCTTTATTTTGCACTACCGCTTTCGTCTCAGTTCTTTGCGACCCACTAGAAGGAAGGGATTAACTTGTCTGTCAGTGAAACCTACTCGTTTTATCTGTAGTTACTTACTATTTTACCACGCGCCACTCCTTTGGATATATTCTTTCGCTCAGAACTCGAACGTGAGATCGGGCTGTTGAAGTTGAATAAGGCCGCGAGGCTGAATTCTCTTCCTCCAGTCTTCTTCAAATATGAGCAACCTGCAGCACACACGTTAGCTAGAGATGGAAAACGCCTCAGCTATTGTGCAACAATAATTGAGAAAGGAAAAAGGACGCAAATTATGCACACTAGCTGTGCCACCGATAACGGATGAACATTGTACCTGAGAGCTTAGGGTGGGTTATTTGCCGTAAAAAAGTTGTGTCCGAAATGAGAGTTGGTGGCTAAGTAGGAGGGCGATGGACAGAGAAACTCGCAACACAAACGCCGCTGAGGTCGGCTACTAGCCATACCAGCAAGTGTATCCAACCAAATGTGTTCATCGTTTTTTAGTCTCAACGAGGGAGGCGAGAGATTCCAGTCGGCGCGAACTTCAAAGTCATGACCTTCATTCTTCTTGACCTAGCCATCACTTGGCCTCCGCTCCTCTTCTTCCATCCAGACCCCGGGCGTGAAAACAACGCGCGTCATGAGAGTGGTGTGCTGGCATGCACAATACATGGCCCAGTCATCGGAGCCTGATGAGTCATATAAAGGTGCCCACCAATTCACTGGTTCTCCCTGTGTCATAGACACGCTTAGCACATACGCCGTGTTCCCATCAGATATGAGCCAAACTGCGAGGAGACCGATGGTGGAACGCAACTAGCCTCTTTATGTCGGTTGCTCTAATGGGTCAGGTTGCACAACCCTATGCCGGTCGAACGTACGGCTGCATTGTACACTACTCTTCAAGAAGCGAGCGATGCCGCGCCGGCGCCATAGGTGGCGGGGGTTAGCAAAAGTGTCCCTAGCTTTTGCTATATGGTTTGTGACCTCGTCTTCAATCCCAACGGCGCTGCTACAACTGCCTAGGTAATTATGTTTTTTGAACGACTTTTAGCTGCTCCTCACCTAGGATCAGCGCAAGTGGCGGTACCTGTCAATCTTGCAGGAAAACATTATACTTTGCGGTTGCAAAACAACTCCGAAGGTGGCTGACTGTCAGTGCTAGTTTTCTTAGTGCTGCTTGGCATGTTTTTTTTGCTGTCCTAGGTTAGTGCAATGCCGTCAGTATACTCCAATTCAAGAAATCGTTCACATGAGTGCGACTTCAGCCCTTTACGTCGTGTCCAGTGAATGCGATCTTCATGACTTCGTTAATAGTGAAATTGAAGATGAAAGGTGACGGTGGGCATCCTTGTCTTACACAGCTGGAGGTATTGTAAGGCAGCGACAGCTTGCCGTAAGCCCTCATTCTGCCCGAGCTATGCGCGTAAAGCGCTCGAATAATATTTACATTTTATTCGGGCGCACCTTTCCTGATTAGAGGGTCCGAAAGGACACATCGATCCACCGAATCGAAGGCACGTTTGACGTCTAGGGACACAATGACGGTATGCCGTCAACATATTTGTCGATGCTCCAACAATTAACGCAACGTAAACATGTGATCAATGCAGCCACGATCTCGACGAAACCCGGCTTGCGCTTCACGAATCTAGCTTTCACGAGTGTCAATTAGTCTGGGAAAGATAACATAAGCAAGCAATTTGGAGGCGATGAAGATCAACCGGATTCCCCAATGATTGCCGCATTCCGATCGTGAGCCTCCCTTGAAGATCGGGACAATAATGAAGGGGTTCCAGTCGGTTAGGTCGGTTTCTTGCTGTCAATGAGCGGGGCGATCTTTAGCCGGTGGGGAATCTAACAATTATGGCCGACTAAATTGCCTTTCAAATTGCTCAGTCCAACACTTCAAGCATTTGACTAGCTGTGCTGAACAAGCAACCAGTAGCCTTCAACTGTATTTAGTGAGCACTTACTCAACCAGAACACCAGCGTAATTTGATACGCGTTCAGAACATCTGGCTTCGACAGTTTGCTGGTCTATATGTGCTCACGGGGTAGTGG